CTTTCCCTTCATGTCTGGAACCATTGTAGACTGGTTCTTAGTCCAGCCCAGGCCCCATCAATAGGCCAGTCTCCTCAGGGCCTGGCACGGACCCTGGTTCAAGGCAGATGTTCAAGAAATGTCTGGAAGAAAGGAGGAAGGGGAAAAGATGGAAAGAAGGAAGGACAGACAGCTAACCCTCCTGGTGGAGGACTGGCTTCTTACCTCTGTCCCCTTTCTCTCCAAACCCAGGAGGTCCTGGTTCACCACGAGGTCCCATGGGGCCTTCTCGTCCTCTCTGACCCATGGGTCCTTCCATGCCAGGATCTCCTAAAGACAGGAAGGCCGACCTCCGCATTAGGCTTCCATGCCCCTCTAGGCTCCACAGGCAGCCTCTGGCCACCAGAATGCTCGCCCAGGGTCTCTTCCCTGGCCTACTGCTTCTCCCCAGGTTCTCTGTAGCCTCGGCTCACCCCACAAACCAGAGTAACCTTTGGAAATGTAAGTAGCTGGTGTCCCACTTCTGCCCCAAGCCTCATTCTGGCCTCCAAGGTCCATCTTGGGACTTTCCAGTGTTGGGCCTTCCCACCCTCCTTCCTCTTCACTGCTCCTTGAACTTGCCCTCGGGGCCCTGACCATAACTACTCCCTCTGCCTGGAATGCTTCTCCCATACCTCCTTCCTGGCTCCCTCTATCCCATCAAGCCTTTGCTCAAATGACAGCTTCTCAGGGAGGTTTTCCCTGGCCCCTGTCGGCCCTCACTCCCAAAGCCCCGCCAGGCTCTCTCTCTCCCATTTCATGCATCGTCTCCTAAGCCGAGACATACACTTCCTTATTTATCACTTTTTTGTCTTTCTCCCCCTAAAACAGGACCTGGCACACAGCGAGCACTTAATACATCTGTATTACACAAAAGGAATAAGGGAAGCGATAAACAAAAGGAAAAAGCTATTCTTACCCACGCTGCCTTTTTGTCCCTTTGGCCCTTCAGGACCTTGGTGACCCAAGGGACCGGGAATACCTGTGGATACACAAGAAAATCTCAGCCCCTGTTTTCCTCCTGGGAGCAGCAGCTGGAGCTGAGCACCCTGTAGAACCAGCAGCCCTAGAGGTCAGCAGAGGTCACACACCTGGAGTCCCGGGGAGCCCTCGATCTCCTGTGGGAACAAGGTATAAGAGAGGTCAGCTGGAGGACTTGGCCTGAGTCCCTAAAGGAACCACTGGTGGGAATGAGATGGGGTAGCCGAGTTTAGCAAGTAAAAATACAGACTTCCAGTTACATTTGAATTGGTGATACATTTTTTTAGGATAAGTATGTCCCATAAAATATCTGGGATATACTTACAGTGAAAAGTTACATGTTGCTTATTTGCAATTGAAACGTAACTGGGAGTCCCATGTTTTCTCTGACACCTGCAGGTTCAGGGGCTCAGAACCACAAGCCCCCTCCAGCATGGCCAACAGGGTGTGGCCTGCAGGCTGAAGCCTCAGGGAAGCGGGGTTGGGGGACCCACCCAGAGCGTGTGTGGGAGGTGGGTGGGGGGTAAGGAATCATGAGGGCAGTGAACAGCAGAGGAGGATCACTCAGCAGAGAAACCCAATTCCTGCCCTGGGGTCACCTGAGAAGTAAGGGGAAACCGGGAAAGGGCTGACTCTGCTGTCTTGCATGGCGGGTCTCACTAAGGCCAGAACACCCCTGGCTGTAGTCACCTGAGGTAAGACCAAAGGCGCCTATACCCATGCACACCTGCCAGAGCAGGGGCTCCGGGAGTGGGGCCCAGAATACCCAGTGATTGCAGCGGGCGGAGCTGCCAGCCCCAGGAGCTGGGTCAAGGAACTGCTCTGTGTCCAGTCCTGAGTCACTGGGACTGTCCCAGTGATTGTCAAGTCACTTTCTTGAGTCTGAGGTGGGGTTTCTGACACTTGCTCATTGCTGGAAACTATCAGCCCTTACTAATATTTAAACCAAAAATGTTCACATCGTATTTACCTTTAGGGCCTTGACTTCCCATGTCACCTGAAATCAGAAAGACGTGAAAGCTGTGAGTTGGGATGGGCGTCCCCGGACTTCTCTCCCTAGTATTTAAAAACCATCCGATGCTCTCTGCAGGCATTTCAAGGCATTGAGACGTGCCGTGGGGTCCCCCAGGCTCAGCCAGGGTCACTTGGGCAGTTGTAGGACCACAGATGCTGTCTTAGGTCCCTTCCCAGGTTGAGGTGTTCTCACTCCAGCGCTAGTTCTCAACTTTCCACCCAGAAAAGCCCCTCCAACTGCAGGGAAGGGAAGCAGGAAAAGGGCTTCCGGGCGCAGTACCTTTAGGGCCAGGGCTACCTCGGAGACTCCCTGCAAGAGAAAGAAGGTCCTGCGTTAGTTTCACCTCTGCTGTTTACCTCCACACACACACACATACACAAACACACACGAAGGGCCCCGTGGTGTGGTGGGTAGGAACCGAGGCTGCACCTAGGACGCGGTTTCTAAAGTGAGCTGTGGGGGATCTTAGGCACGTCTCCTCTCCAGGACGTTTTCCGGGTCAAATGGGATCGCCGCACTGGGCCTCGCGGCCTCTCGCGGCTTAGATCCGGGCGGAGGACAGAGGCGGAGGTGGGCGCGTGTCCGCACACCACACACACCCACACCCGCACCGCCCGTGGTCCCGCCGTGCTCTCACCCTTCCCTTGTTCCGACATTAGCTTTTCCCTGACGAACAGCCAGAGGGCCTCCTGATTGGAGCCGTCCTGCCAGGTGTTGTCCACCTTCGCGTCCAGGGCGGGTGCCGCGCCCTGGAGGCGGTCCCTGCTGCTCCGGTCCATCCTGTCCCCGTAGTACAACACGCTGCTCCGGGTCGTCTCCAGCTCGTCCACACGCGCTTTCAGCTTCCGCACCTCCTCGGCTGAAAGCCACAGACTCAGGCGACAGCCAAGGCAGATGCAGCGCCTCCCAAACACCCCCTGCCCGGGGAGCTGCCCTGGGGGCTCTGGGGCGGGGTGGCGTCTTCATATTGGGGCTCTTTGCAGAATGATTATGTGGACACCATCCCTTGTGGCTGCCACCGGGATTAGCCACCCAGCTTCGTCCCAGAGCCTTGAAACCTGGCCTGGGAGTCCAAGATGAAGCTCGTGGTCACACGATGGTGCTGTGACAACGACCGAGACCAGACACAGGTGCTTGGAGAAGGGGAAAGCCAAAAGGCTGCGGGAAGGCACGGCCTTCCTACTAAGGGCAGGCGGAGGGCAGGTTACTGTAGGAGGCTGGGCTGGGGATCCGGAGCGCGATCGAATCCCAGCTCCACCACTAGGAAGGCCCGTGGCCATGGCCAGAGGCCTCCTGGGGCCCCAGTTTCCTCCTCTGCAGGAATAAGGGGTCTGCACCGGTGATCCCAGGCCCCTTGGCCCGGACTCTTGGGACCCCCTACCCTCCATCGAGTCCTGCCCTTGTAAACAGGCAGGGGGCTTGCCGGCCTCCTGCAACCTTCGCCACGCACCCAGAGCGATGAGTCCGAAGAGCAGCCCCAGGAGCAGCAGCCAGGTGAGCAGCAGGCCCAGCAGCCATTTCCACCAGCTGCAGCAGGAGCCGCAGGGGCACCAGGCAGGCGCCGCCCCCCACGGACCTCCGCCACCGCCGCCGCCTCCTCCGACGCCACCACCGCCACCACCACCACCGACCCCCTTGTAGGGTCCATGGATTTCTGGGGAAGAGACAGGCCAAGTGAGGCAAATGCAGGTGGCTTCTACACTTTTCTCTTCACATTCTCTGGCTTTTGGTGACTTTCTAGGGGTAGGAGTGAGAGGGGATGGGGCCTTCAAGTTCCTGGGCAGCTCTGGGAAGGGTGAGGCTGACTCCTGGAGGGAACGCTGCCCAGCTGCTGAGCTGCTGAGGCGCAGACTGACACCGCGGCCCGCTGTGGGCCTGGGAGTCACTTAACCTTTTTGTTTCCTTTCTTAGAGAATGGAGTAAAGAGGACCTACTCCACAGGGTGGTGGTTGAACGAAATGAGAGGAGGCACGTGAGGTCAAGAGCACCCACCTGCGGAGGCGTTGCCCTTCCCCAGCACGGTGGTCACGTTTCCTGAAAGGACAAACACCCGCAACTGGGTCTGACTTGAGCTTTTAGGCTGGAGGACCCCACAGGACTACCCCCAAGGTTGATTTTCAGTAGAGCCTTTGGTCAATATGTCCTAGGCACCTTGCAGAATACCAAGGGACATCCAGTAACCCAGTCCTTATAATCTGATATTCGTAGGATATAGGGTGAAGAAAGGTTGGCAAGTGATTATTGATGGAAACAAGCACAGTATTTTATTCTTCTTGAGACTGTAAACCTTTTAAGTCCAAAATGCCTTGGAAGACTATGTGAGGGGTGATAGGTGCAGTAAGAAGTATGCTTGTGGGGCCTGCGGGTGGCGTGATGGTCAAGGTGCTGGACTCCCACACGGCCAACTGTGGTTCAGGTCCTGCACCTAGAGGCTTGAAAATCATGCCAGACATAAGTGTGTATGTCTAAAATCTCAACAGGATAATGGAGGAGATGGGACTGTGGTGTGGCTATTTCCCCGGGGGGTGTTTTCTCACTGTCCTTCTCTCTCTCTCTCTCTCTCTCTCTTTCTCGTAACTACATGTGCCCAATGGCAAAAAACTTAAAAAAAAAGAAAAGAAAAGAAAAGAATGACAAAAGAAGTATGCTTGTGGGAAATGACTGATTTTCTTGGCCAAGGACTTTGAATATAGGTTCCTAACTGGGGTGGAGAGAACTGGGAACATTTGACAAGGATAGACTTGAAGGAGGGCTGTTTGTGAGTCCCAGACGTTACTTGAGAATCATTTACGGGATACATGGAATGTTTTGGGAAACTCGTCCTAGGCTTTCATTAGATGTTGGAAAGGGTCTTTGACTCCACAGCCCAGGCCAACTTTGAAGACAGGGTCAGGCTCCAATCTCCCACCTTGTGAAGATAGTCACTGATTTGATTTGCATTTACGTAAAAAACATTCTGTGACTTATCTTTTCCCTCCCTTCACTGACCTCCCTGGGTTTAGTGATTTGGAGAGATTTTATAGGACCTTGTGGAGAAATCTGGTTATCCAAAGACAGAGTCCAGCTCTTTGGCAAGGAGGAAAAAAGAAAGCCAGCAAATGCTTTGCAAAGCATTCTTATATTAGTTTTGAAAATTACGGGAGCACTATTAAGGTGAGAAAAAAATGATCACAATAGACATACCAAAAGAAGGTTTTTGCTTCAATAAAGTGCATTTACAAATCACCTGAGGGCTTATTAAAATGCAGCTTCTGACTCAGCAGGTCTAGGCTAGGGTCTGGGTTCTGCATTCCTAACTGGATGCCAGTGTTGCCAGTGCTGCTGGTCCATGGGCCACACTTTGAGTCACAAGATCTCAGAAGACAAAGAAATGAAATAGAGCTGGGCTGAAATCAAGGGAGCCCACAACCGGATTTGCTCTTACCATTAGCATCAGATTTTAGGCAGGTGTCAGCGGCATAAGCAGCTTGCTTTTCTTTTTTCAGGGTGTCTTCTGAAAAAGAAGCTGTGCACAGAATCCATGATAATTCAGTTTATTTTCTCTTCACTCCTCCCAACACACCCCATGTCCCCACCCCGCTCCACCCCACCACTTGGGGAGGTCAAGGTTAGTCTGGTAAAAAGAGACCTCAGCTTTCCTGGGGTTAGTCTCCCTCATTTGTGCTTGTGTTTAGTCTTGCTGGTGCCCAGAGACCTCTCAGGAAGCCCTTGGTGTAGAATTCCCCAGTTCGTCTGCATGCCCGCCAGACTCTGTAGCACCCTATTCTGCCAGTCATTTTTCATTAGAAGGGATGGCTGTCGTTTCCTGATGGACAGTCTCAAACCACCTTGCTTGGACATTCCGTCTCCTACGCTACTTGCCCTTCTTGTGGGACCCGACTCATGTGGGCTCTGACGTACTTGCAGTGATGCTAGCCGGGGAGGCGGTAAAGACCTTCCCACTGTCCTTATTCATGATTAGCAACTCCATCTCCTTCTTGGCAGGCGTGTTGTCTTTTTCCAGGATCAGGAACTTGCAGTCCTTGTGCAAGAAGTCATCACTTTGGACACTTGTACTGCCGGCTAGGGAGGAAAGAAGTGGATGAGGAGGAAGGAAAAGATGCCGGGAGAAGGGAAAGGGAAGAAATGGTAACAGGAGAAAGAGGAAGGGGAAGGAAGAGAGCAAGAGAGATTAGTGTGTGTATCTGAGGGTCTCCTGTTCTCACTGATGGTACCATTATGAAACATCTTGGGCACCAAGGTATCCTCCTGCCTGCCTGGGTGACCCTGTCCTCTAGGATTTGGGTCAGAAGCTCTGGGCAGCCAGTCTCTGGGGCTCCCTTCTCTCAGGGAGATCACAAGACCTTTATGGGTAAAAGTCATGCCCCTTGTTAGGCAGGTTTTTAACTGAGTTGGTGGGTTTATTTTTTAAATTGTTTTTAAACAGTTATTTTATTTAACTTTTTATTTATTTTATTTTAATTTGACCAGATAGGGACAAAGTGAGAGAGAGAGAGAAGGAAAGTGGATAAGCAAGCCACCAGGCACAGGACTTGAACTGCGGTTGGCCATGTGGGAGTCCAGCGCCCTTAACCACCATGCCACTTGCCGGCCCTGGTGGGTTCATTTTTACCCTTTATATCTTAAGTGTTGCCTTATTAAGGGAGGCTCTTCCTGATGACCCCATCCGAAGTACCCTTGCCCCTTCTCTATCCTGTCACTTATTGCTCTCCTTAAATTCCAGATCATTTTCTTTAATTATCTTGTATGCCTTGTCTATGCGTTTGTCCTGTCTCCTCCTCTGGCGTTGTCAGCTGGGTGAGGGCAGGGATCTTTTTTATCCTGCTCACCTCTTTATTCCCAGTGAATAAACAAATCGTTGGATGGAAGGAGACACACCATGATCAATGGGGGAATAGCTCTTCCTGTGCCTGTAGTGATGCACCGTGAATCTTGATTCTCCAGAAAGAAGAAAGGGTGTGAGCAGCTTCTATGGGCCTCCCTGGTTTTGTGGTGGATTTCAGGTAACAGGCGAAGGTCGAGGGCGTCTAGACGAGAGTGGTGACTGGAGTGCAAGTGCCCAGACCTAGGTAGGTGTGGAGGTGAGCGTCCTGCCTCTCTTTGACAGGAAGGCCAAGGGTAGTTCAGGGGAATGCTCATCTCTGTTCACTCATGGAAATATCCAAGAGACCCTTTGCCTGAGTGGAGGTTTCAGACCTCGGACCACCACGGTTCTGTCTCTTCTTCTAATATGCCATGTGCCATGGCAAAGCAGTTCTGCCTGTGTGCCAGCTGACCGCCAACAGCTGAGAGCAACACTCACCGGCAGAGGTGGACACACCAGAGGTGGACACACCGGTGCTCGCAACAGCAGGGCTCTGGGGCACGTTTTTCTTCACGCCATATGCTGCAAGAGAGGAACCACCGAGTGAGCTCAGTCAACGTGGTAGGTCAGCTCCACAGGGCTCAGGAGTAGCTTGGTCAATCCTGGCAAAGAGGCAGCCCCCCAGGTGGGAAATAGACAATGAAATCTATGCTTTCCAGTCCTGGGGGACAGCAATGAGGGTTCAGATGGAAGGTTCTTGGGTATAATCCTCCACATCCTTCTAGGACCCTTCCAAAGGCCACCGCTTCCTAGACCCTCCTAGACATATCTCCTTCCCTTCTGAATTCCTGTAGCCTTTAATACCTGCTTTGTTCAATGTATCACTTAATTCCCATAATCTTATGGGACTCTCTCATTGTCTCATGTAGGTTAGATTTCGTACTCCAACTAAACCGTGGGCAAGTGGAGACATACTCGGAGGTCCTGGTCTCTTGTCCCCACTCCTCCAGATTTGCACAGGGACAGTGACCTGGAATGTGTGTGTGTATGGGGGGGGAAGGATGGGGGGCAGTGCACCATAAAATTAGATGATTGAGTTGCAGTGACAGTGGGCTGTCAAGGACAACTGTGAGCTGGTGAGACCACCACCCTGACCCGTTTGTCTGAGAGACACAAGAACATACAGGTGAGACCTCACAGGGTATGGATTCTGTTGACAGTACAGTCTTCTCTGTGTGTTTAACTCACGTCTGAACCAGCAAATGATCAAGGTTGGCATCTGTATGTTGTTGGGGGCGTGGGTGCTGTTTCTTTGGTGGGAAAAATCAATTGTTTTTCAGAGGTATTTTGATCTTCCTAATTCAGTTGCTACGAAGGGATATTGTGAGTTGCAAGCTGCAGAGGGGTGTCACTTGCCAGCCTCTAAGCCCCAAGCCTGTTACTGACCTGTGGAAGTGGTGGTTGTGCCATGGGACAGGGTGGTCGAGCTGGGGCCCAGATTGTTCTGCATACCAAACACTGAAAGCAATGGACAAGTGAGTGTGGAACACAGAGGGTGCCCCTTAGTATACAGCTGCCCTCTGCCCCGGAGTCCACAGACTTTCATTATAGAGGAATCTGCAGATGACAGATTCCCAGGCTTTCTCAGTTCCCACACTCTTAGCAACAGTCACTTTTTTATGCCCCTGTCTTTCCCTCCCAAGCTGAAAATTACTAACAGCTCTAGTCACCAAGCAGTTAAGCTTGTTCACACAACTCAGTAGCAGCAGCTCACACAGGATCTGACAAATGTTGCTGTGTCCTTCGCAATCTTAACTAGGTCAGGGCTTCCATGTTCTCTGTGGTACCCCAGGGTGCCCTGGTGCCCAGTATGGGAACTGCAGGCATAGTACATGGATGCGATAGGGCTGAGAGGCCCTACCTGGGCAGACCCCCAGTTTTCCTCTTAACCTTCTTTCTCCTGACTCAAACACATGAAACTCCCACATCCCCACTATGATCCAGAGGGTCCTTATTCCTGTCGTTTGCTTTTAACAATGTGCAGAACTCCTTTCTTCCCCGGTCAGCAGCTTCTGTTAGGCCAAGCTAATGTTTGGGGCACGAGATCATGGGTCCAGTATCAGCCCACCTTTCCTGCGGGCCTGGCTCAGTCAGGATTTGCAAAGTGAAATCGCATAGGCAGAAAAAATAAAGCACGAAGCCATGTCTTCTGGTTTGGTGGGATTCTAGTCCACTGGAGGCAGGGGCTGAAAATCTGAATTGTACATCTGTACTTGCAGCTAAACCACCCAAGTAAATCAAAAGCAAGCTTGTGTCGGCCTAGTTGTTAATCATAATATCACAGAGAGAAGGCAGATTCCTTTCAAAGAAAAAGATGTGAACTGGCAACCTAGTTACACATAGGTATTTCCGCATATGTGGAAACATAATAAATGTAAATAATTCTTTAAAATCGTCATGTTTGCACTGAAAGCTAAGCAGTAACGTTATTTACCCCAATGTAGTTACTCCAATGAACTCTATATTATTAAAACGATCTGAAATAAGGTCCTTCTAAACTGACAAGGCATTTCTTCCTGAAAATGTCCTAAGGTCTGACTTAACAAGTCCCTTATTTCCACTCCTCTGACTGTCCCAGAGCATAAAGGCACCAGCACAGACCAGCGTAGGCCCCTCCCGCTGGAACCTGCCCTTGGCACTGAGCTGCGCCGTGGCTGAGACGGGCTCTGTTCTTCTGCCTCCTCTGTGAAACCCCTTGGCCTCTGATTCTGGGGCCACAGTGTGCACGGGGCAAAGTCCCTCACACTCTTGGGCAGAAAGGGCATCTTCTCCAGGAACCATTTCATTTTCCTTACCAAGAGAGACCATCCTTATGTTTTAAGCAAATAGCCTGGAAAAGGTGATTAGAGATAGCGACACTGACCTGAGGAGCAGGTGCTGAGCCCGGGCTGCAGGGTGGGAGAGCAGGATGCCATGTTATTGGGGACTCCAAAGACTATAGGGGGAAGGAAGAAGGCTGGTAAGAGGCAGAGGCTCAGATATTGCAGAAGACCAGAAGAAAGGCCAGGATTGGGCTTTTATTTTGGTTACATTGTGATTTTCAGGGAAAAAAAATCAATGTTCAGCTTTCTTACCTTGTAGCAGAAAACTGGGCTAGTCTGTAGTGTGCTTTGGAGCATAGCCAGCAGTGTTAGTGACCCCATTTTACACAAGAGATCACTGAAGGTCAGAGAAGTCAAACGACTTGCTCCAGATCCCACCGTCAGTCCTCACAGTGAAACGAGGACTCCTGTGTCCATTTTCAGGATTCTTTTCCGTTACATTTTTTCTGAGACACTCTGCTATATAGTCCTCTCTACAGACGACCCACCAGTCTCCTTTCTAGACTGAACTGAACGGAAGATCCAGTGGCAAACTCTTGAGATGCTTAGCTACAGAAAACTCTCCAAGAGGCCCTGGGGGTGGCAAATACCCAAACACGTATTCAGCTCCAAGGAAAGGTGTGACATAGTTGGGGGTGAGAACAGTGTATGCCACCTCTACGTACCTGATCCTGCAGAGTAGGCATTGGTGTTGAGGAGGGATGAGCTCTGGGTTGTCATGTTGTTGTGATAGGTCCCCATGGAAGATCCCGCCGGCAGAGTAGAAGACCACACGTGGGAAGGAAGGTTGGCATCCAGGATCGTAGTGTCGTAGGTGCCCGACACTGGAAACAGACACAGGGACACACCCCAGAGAGAGACGAATGAACACTTCTTGGCTAGAGGACCCAAGTGGCTTCGGTCTCCAGCACTTTCCTTCTTATAGCATTGGAGGTTTCATAGGCCAACAACTCTCCTCTCCAGGGCAGCCTTGGGCATCCCACATCCATCTGAAATCTTGCCTTTTGGTGAAATTTGAGTTAGCTAAATTCTGCCTTGAAGTCCAACCACTTCTACTAAACCCGCCTCTCTACCTCCTGGTGGGCTGTCCTGCCAATGGTCTTCCTCTTAACCTGTTACTGTCTCCTCTATATTCAAAGACACCAGGGAGCAGCTCTCTCAGGAGCAATCAGTGAGACCCCTGGAGGAAGTCCAGGAACCCTGGCAAGTGAGGGGTGTATGTCTGTGCAGGGCGCACTGGGTCTGAGGCCGCACTGCATAGGGGCAGCCTTCTCTGGTTAAACCCCTTCTGGCACATTCCCTACGAGGGGATTTCCAAATGTTCTTGCAAAGATGGCATTAAAGTATGAGTTTAATGTGCCTCCTGCATGCCAGCTGGCACTCTGCCCCAGAGAGGGTTCTTATACTTCCTCAGATCTGATATCAGTTTTATCCGTTTGTCCTAGGAAATGGTGCTAGCCATGTAGGTCATAACCTTGAGGTTTTGGTTTTATACCTAAAACCCTGAAGTTTTAGTTTTATACCTAAAAGTCTAAAAAAACAGAAGTAAGATCACAGTCTCTAGGGGTTTTTCTAGTAGGGAATTGGAGGAAAACATCACATCCTAGCGTATCTGGCTTCTTTCTTCATCCCCTTCCTGGGATTTGCTTCTTCCTCTGTCTGCCTCCTACCAAACCCACCTTGCACCTGGTAGGCACTAGGTAGACGGGGCTGAACCACACTCAGCTGACTTGTCTAGGCCCTTGGTTTTCTGGTGCCCCATCCACCCCCAGAGACCCTCATGACCACAGAGCAGTGACCATATTTCTCTTGTCCACTACTTTTCCTCAATGCCTGGTTCATGGTGTAGAGGAGGTATATGAAGAATGTTCATGAAATGAGTGCATGAAAACACTACAACATCCCCTAATATCCTTCACTGGGAAGTCTAGTCAACACATTGCACGGTCAAGGGTATCTTGAGGGAGAATCTCTAGGATTCAGTTCTGGGCTACCGTGGACACATGGGATGGTTGATCAGACAGGAGAAAGAAGGGCAAGGCTCACGTTTTCACGATACTTGGAGGGCAATGTGCCTCTGGCACAGCCTAAAAGACCTGCCAGGATACTGTCAAGTTCCCAGGCAAAGTTAAATCCGCCCCCTTGTCCTCCCCATGGCAGCTTGGGGCAGACAGACTTACCCGACTGGGAGCTCGCTGTCACCATTTTGGTCTCCACAGTGGCTTTCTTGGGGATGGGGAGAGTGTTGGAGGAGTTCCGGGTGGGGCTGGCACTTGCTGATCGACTCCCCTTGAGCAAACGCTTAACATCATCCAATTCCGTCCCTGTAAAAGAAACCCCGAACTTCACCCTCAGGGTGAGGATTCTTTCCTGAGTCCATCTGCAGTTGAGGCAGCATTAAGGGCATTCTGAAACACTAGGGAGGATGGTGTCTGTCACACATTGGGACTTATTTTTTATTAACTTTATAATGTTTGCATTTTGCCAATATACAGCACTCATCAACCTGGCACTTTGTCGTAATAACAGCCTCATAAATATAGTGTCACTCATGAGGAGCTCAAAGTCCTTGGGAGATACTTCTTGATTAGACCTCATGAGACACCACAGGGCTGGTTCTGGGGCAGGAAGACACTCACCTGGGATCAGGCAGGAAGAGGACCTACGTGGTTCGGCAGGAGTCCCCCACCCCTGTAAGGGATGCCTTGGATACCAGGTCCCTGACTCGGTGCCTGGCACTGTCAAGAGGAGTCCATGGCCTGTAACTCCTAAATGTTAATGCTGCTTTTGTATGTGATTTAATTCAAGTCCCATTGACTGCTATTATTTGTAGCAAAGTGAACTTTTTTTTTTTTTTTTTTTTTTTGGAGAGGTTTTAGCTACAGGGTGTGTGCACTTGCCAGACAGACAGAGTGAGACAGAGAGACAGAAAGCAAGAAATCACCCCCCAGGGGGGATGGCCACGCCGCAATCCCTTCTCCTTTCGGGATCTTGGGCACGCATGCACACACACCAAGCATGAGTTTAAGCCACCGGGTCCAGGACACGAAACACAGTCGACTACGTGGGAGTCCAGTGACATAGCCATTACGCTAACTGCTGGTCCCGCAAAGTGAACAAACATACCTGTCGCCACCAGGTGGCAATCAGGTGAGGAGGAAGAAATTGTGCAAGAGCAACATGTAAGAAGAGACAACATGTGGGACCAGCAGATAGTGTAATGGTTATGTTGCTGGATTTTCATGTAGTCGACCACGGTTTGAGTCCTGGACCAAGCGGCTTAAAACTTGCGCCAGGTGCGTGTCTATGTGTGCCCAAAATCTCGAGAGGAGAATGGAGGGGAAGGGACTACGGTGTGGTCATCCCCCCTGGGGGGGGTGATTTCTTGCTCTCTGTCTCTCAATCTCTCTCTGTCTCTCTGGCAAGTGCACACGCCCTACAGCAAACATCTCTTTGTTAAAAAAAAAAAAAAAGAAGAGACAAACATGCCGGAGGAACTCCCAGCCCTCATGACGCCCTCGCCCCCGCTGCCAGAAGCCCCACCCTTTGGACTTAGACCCCCTCAGGTGGGAAGGACTGAGATGAGTTGGATCTCATGCCCCGTGCGCTGAACTCTCTAGGCCAGCCCCATTTCTGTGTCCTGAGTTGTCGATCCTTTCTTCTCCTACCCCTTGACCTGGGCTCCTGTCGACATTGCCCTACAACCTCTAGAAATGGATCCGCTCATCACCGTGTCTCCACCCTTCTTTCTCCCGCCCTCTCCTCAGTCTCTGGTAACTGCTGTTCTCTCTCCTGCTATGCCACCTGATATATTCCAATACTCCTAGGCGAGAGGTTTTTGAGTGTTCCCACCACAAAGAGATGATAAATGGGCGAGAAGATGGGTTTACTCACTTCTCTGATTTGATCATTATACAACATGTACATGTGTCCAGATATGAGGCTGTACCCCATAACTAGGTACAATGACAGAGTGTTAAATTAAAAAAAAGCCCAAGAATAATAGGAGTCTAACTTACTCAGTGGACAGAAACCTAGGGACTCAGCTATTTTGTCATAAAGCTCAAACTCTTATGGTCACTTTCAACCTTTCTCTCATCTTAACTATCCCACAGTGACCCTGCTCTGAACTGTTCGTCCAAGGTCTCATCCTGGCCTGTCCCTCCGCGCCTAACTGCTCCATCCTTCTGTCACCATTCAAGTGACGCCTAATCTGGGAAGGCTCTCTGGTCTCTGTGCCTGTCCCAGCTCCCTGGGCTGCTGTGGAGATACTCCTCTGTGTGCCTTCACATTGCCCATTTTCCGTCTCAGCATCAGTCTGTGAACCACTAAGCAGCAGGGACCATGGCTTACTCGGCAACTTAACCCAAGCATCCCACCCAGGGTTAAACTCAGAAGGCCCTTAAAGATGCTTTTATGATTAAGTGCAAGCACATACATGTGCGTGCACACGCGCATGCACACACACACACACACACACACACACACACACACACACCGTGTTATCCTGGGTTCTTGGATCTCCTTTCATCAAGACAGTGACTACTTACATCGGGTAGATGGGGATGCACTTTGCAATCGAACTCGAATCTCACTCTCTGTACAAGGGGAGAGATAAAGAAAGCCATGAATGAAGGAGCCTGGATCACAGACCCTGACACTGAGCTCTCAGTGGTGGGTACTCAGAGATTTCTGAGTCCTGGGAACAGGAACCTACGTGTGCTCAAAGACTGATGCTCATAGAGGGGCCTCACCCATCACACCCCAGCTTCCCAATGTGATGCCTCCTAGGCACTTGGAGATGGTCTTATGAAATCCCAGGCTGAGCCTGGAGGCTCCATTACAACCAGCAATGACCAACCCCTTTCTCATCATCCACTTCACAATCGCCAGACTCAGTCTTCATTCCCACCTCAGTAGTCTCTCTCAGGCGTTGATGAGAGAATCCTAAAACCTAGTGTTTACTTAGCCATTTTAGCCTCTTTGGAAATGGGAAGAGCAGGAAGTTGGTAGCTTAACACTATTCGTTATCTTTAGGTGGAGAATGGTCATCTTTCAACTATCAGCCTAAAGTTGTGGGTGGTTGGTGTGCACCTAACTTTCAAGTAACTGAAGACAATAAAGTTCATGGAAAGCCCAGGTTGGTCACTGAGACGTCACTGTGTTCAGCACAGTCCTGACACACTGGCCTGGCCATGCTGCCCAGAGCCCACCAGGGCAGATTTTTCCAGGACCACGCTTCTCTCCTGTGTCCTTGTTCAGATGAGGAGATTACAAAACTGTCATGAAGCCCTTTGTCTTCTATGATAATTTGAAAAAGAAAGACTTTGTTCATCTTTGTATGTGTAAAGGCAATTAAAGCATATCTTGTGAAAATCAACCAGGAGACTGGAAGTGGAACCATGTGTGAATTCGGTTCCTTCAGAAAGCGAGAAATCACCCCCAGGGGGATGGCCACGCCATAATCCATGTCACAGCAGACAGACTAGTCCTCAGGCTGTCGCCATGTGTTTTGATTCTTGCCTCCACACACTCGCTGGATCATGGGCCAAAGCTACCCTTTCTATCCTGACAGAGCCAGAAAAGACTCCCAGGCTATTCTAAGCTCCATGAGGGCAGAAGCCATGCCTCATCTACTCTTCTTTACTCCTCACACTTCCTGGCTAAAGGCTGGACATTTGTATTAGCTGCTCATAAAATCCTTGTTGAATGAATGGAACTGAACCCAGAGATGGAGCTTACCTCGTGTTTGGCTTCGTCCTCTGGTTGAAGAAGATGCTGAGAAACAAAGAACAGCAATCTTAGACACATATGGAAGGTGGCATGCTGAATATTTTTGACATAGTGGTAGGAATATTTGGGATGGGGTATTTTTGTAGTGTCTCTAAATCCAGGTAGGGCTTTTCTGAGGAGTGAATCTTAATAAATGATGACCATGTAGCTAAGGGGCAGAGAAAATTTTGCAATGCCCCAGCACATTCAGGGTGTTACTCTAGCCAGATGGTTGTTATGTTAGCTAACACAGTGTTAAGTCGGTTAAGGTAATCCATTTGAGAGTATGATCCATTTAGAGTGGCTGACTACACTGATTTATGTATCAAAAGGTTGCCAAATCTTCTCTTTAATTTTTTTTAAAATTAGAGACTGCCTTGTAATCAGACTCCCAATGTAAGCAAATCAGTGAAATTATAATCACTACATAATGGGTGATTATACATCAATTCAGATGCACAGTGAGATTTTAAGAACATGGATCAAAGACTTAAGGCCATGAAAAGTGACAGCCTATGGTTTCACCAATCTTGGACGTGCTCCTTAGGAGTGAGCAAATGTGGATTGGTGTGATGGTGGCATTTTGGTGACCTAATCATGCTTCTCTTTGCCAGGAGGTCTCTATGCACCTCGAGAAAAGAAGAATCCCAACAATGATTGCTTAGCCTCAGGGGCTTATCCGTCAGTCTGAACCTTGTATAAATAGCTTGCCGTTTTGTTAATGTCTGGAGAAAGGCTTATGATAGCAGGTTAATGGGTCCCCTTAAGATGCTTCAGGACAAAGAGCAAGGGAAAAGTAAGCCAC